CTTTATTTGTCTAATATTTGTCTTTACGTGTCTTTTTTTGTCTTTTTTTGTCTTTATTTGTCGAAATTTGTCAAAATTTGTCAACATTTGGCGGGGCCGGCCCACAAACTTACTGGAATCTAAATCCCCTCAATCTAGGTCGCCGCAACCGGTCAATGATTTAAGGCTAGTTTAGCTGTTTCTTTAAAGAACAGCCAGCTATCACAAAGTTTTCAGGTTTCGAAAGCAAGTCTGTCTTTGTTGTATGGCCTCTGTGTGCGGCTTTTGTTTTAATACGGGTTCGCAAAATGCGGGCTCTACAATGGTCTTATGACATGGGCTGCTAGAAGCCGTTTTTGTTGTTTACTCAGGGCTTTATAAGGGCTTAGAAAAGGTTGTGGTTGATGACTGAAACTGAGTGCCATGGCAACAGTTGTAAAGAATTCTGGGCAAAGCCTCACACAGCCCTCATAGACTCTGCTAGGTCACCCAAAGATCCTACAGTTTACTCAAGACCCTATACTAAACATACACCCCAGGCCCCAAAAAATAAGTTGCTTGACATGCACCCTGTTCAGGTCGTTAAGACCCTTCTAGAACGAAATAAAGAACCCTAAACCCTACGCCTTAAGACCATTAAAAACAAAAACAAGCCCACCCGAAACCCTTAGAACCCTAAACCTTGATACCCTGTGGGAATCCCTAAGCCCTAAACCCCCACAAAGCCTCAACCTTGAGGTCCAAGAAGCTCGAAATGTCCAGAACTCGCTGCATTTCCTGAGCTTCAGGAGCTCCCGCTTCGTGCTCGCCAAAACTCTCCGGGAAGGAAGGCCCCCCCACCTGGGAATATCTCCAATTCAAGAATTCAGGAGCCCTGATTCTATGCATGTATGCATATGTATATATATATATATACATACATAAATATATATATATATACATATATATATACATATGTATATATACACATATGCGCACAGACACAGTGTGTAACAGTGTGTATGTGTATGCGTATGTGTCTGTATGTGTATGTGTATGTGTATGTGTATGGGTATGTGTCATGTATGTGTATGTGTATGCGTATGTTTATGTATATGTTTGTATGTACGTATGTACGTATGTATGTATGCATGTATGTATGTATGTATGTATGTATGTATGTATGTACGTATGTATATATAAATATAATTATGTACGTTTGAGTATGTCTGTCGGCATGTAAATATGTATGTATGTATGCATGCATGTATTTCAGGGCTCCATCTAGGAAGTTTCTATGTCCACCCACGTATTGGTTTACTTGATTATGTATGCATTTGCTTCTTTATTCCCGTACTCGAGCGTGTTCGAAACGCCAAGGCAACTGTTTAGGATCCATGTAAGCAGACTTGTAGAGAGAACCCTCGTGTGAGGAAACATCTTAGATCTTCCCACCTCCTTGCAGGCGTCCTCCAACATGGACGACAGCTGCTCACTCTGCTCCGCCAGCGCTTCAAAACGGCCATGCAGCGCATCCTCCCCACCGATTAACTCAGTCAGCAGAGGCACCAGCTGCAAACGAATGCGGTTCCGCTGGTAAACCGGCTCCTGGTTGGATGCGTCCTCCTTCCATTCCTGCCCCACCTGATTGCTTTTTAGGCTTCGGGGCAACAAGGGTACCCCTATAACTATATTGGTGTCATATGTGTTTCATTGTGTTTCCTTATGCATCCCTTCTTTGACCTTCAAAAGAGCTGACTAAGTGCGCCACAGACTTCAAGAAAGCTTGCAACTCTTGCTTCCGAATGCCCAGAAGGGGACGTGCGAAGCGTCCTTCCATCAAGTTCATGCCGCTCAGCCGGGCCAGGTGCCCACCACGGAGGAGTTTCAGCAACTGCGTCTCCACCTTCGGGGGCTGCCAGAGTGAAGGGCTCTCAGAGCAGCTAACACCTAAAGGGTTTAGGGTTTAGGGATTAGGGATTAGGGTTTAGGGTTTAGGGTTTAGGGTTCTAAACCCTAAAACTCGAAAACCCTTAAACCCCTTCTAGAACCCCTACTAGTCTCCTTAAAGGAACCCTACTAAGGAACCCTTTTCAGGAACCCCTTAAAGGAGCCCGTCAACTCAGCCTAAACCCGCCTGGTCGTCGGCGTGGTGTGCAAGAAGCACCGCGCCTGAGCCTGATGCAGCTGAGCCTTCCACGCTTTCCAGGAGCTGCAACGCCTGGTTAGGGGTTTAGGGTTTGGGGTTTAGGGGTTTAGGGAATAAGGTTTAGGGTTTAGGGTTTAGGGATTAGGGCTTAAGGTTTAGGGATTAGGGTTTAGGGGCTTAGCTTTACGGGTTCCTGAAAGTCCATGTCTGCAAGTTCTTCTTGTTGCCTTCAGAGCTCCCTTGCGAGAGATCTACAAGGGTCACAAGGAGAGGTTTTAACTGCAGCGTTTTAGGGCTCCTTAATAGAGTTCCTTAATAGGGTTCCTTAGAAATAGTAGGGTTCCTTTAAGGGGATTCGTAGGGGTTCTATAAGGGGTTAAGGTTTTGGATTTTAGCGCTTCAGGGGGTCAGGGTTTGAAGAAGGTTGCATAGGCTGTAGGCTTTAGAACCCTAGGGCTTAGGTCTTCTAGGGTTTAGGGCTTAGGGTTTAGGGTTTAGGGTTAGGGCTTAGGGTTTAGGGTTTAGGGTTGTTGCTTCAGGGGTGACAATATGCCCGGGCTCACTTGACTTACATAACTCTGCTGTCGAAGTCCTCGGGCTCGACATCCTAGCAGCTTACAAAGCAACCCTAAACCCTACCCATAGGCTCCAAAGTAGTTCCTTTTTGTAGTTTATATTTAGAATCCTACAAGGTAATCCCAAAAAGGAACTACTTTGGAGCCTATGGGTAAACCCTAAAGGAAGAATGTGCTGAAACCCTAAACCCTAGAGGCCCTAGAGGCTACAAGCCTTGGACAGCAAACCCCAACTCTAAACCCTAACCCCAAACCCTGCACTCTGGACCCTGAGAGCGCTGTCTGCTTGAACCCCTAAACCCTAGCCCCCAGATCCTAGACCCGAAAAGCACTCTACCCTTGAACCCTGTAAGCCATCTTGGCTCTCAGCTCAAAACCGGCACCTCCTGGCGACGCCATGCCCTTGCAGCTGCCTTTTAGGGCTTTAGGGCTTTAGGGCTTTTAGGGAATTAGGGCTTTAGGGTTTTAGGGCTTTAGGGCGTTTAGGGAATTAGGGTTTTAGGGTTTTAGGGCTTTTAGGGCTTTAGGGTTTTAGGGCTTGAAGGCTTTAGGGTTTTAGGGTTTTTGGGCTTCTGCCTGCAAACCGCCAGCTGCGGCCTTCAGCCCTGCGCCGTCGGCCCTTCGAAGGTGGAACTTTGCCTTCTTTTTTGGGGGTTTCGGAAAATAGGGGACCCTTTCTTGGTCCCGAATATAGTACGGCACTTTTATAAGAAGGACTCTGAAAGGGACTCTCATTTAGAAAACTACCCATAGGTCCAGCTCTGGCGCGCTTAAAGCTTCCCCCAAAAAGGGTGCAAAGTAACCATGCAGTAGGTACTTGTTGCTCCTTTAAATTCAGCGTCCTGGAGATAAGCAGGCTTTGGGATAAATGCAAGCTGTGGCGAAGAAAGTTGAAAAAATCGAAGCCGAAAGCTTCAAGAGCTCTGCGAACTCTGCTGCTAAGCGGCATCGGCAGACAAGGCAAGACCCTCCACAAAGTTCTCTTCCGACGCAGACTCCTGCCTCAGACCATGGTTGAAATGAAGCACGTGCAGGTGCCAGCCGTACGTCTCTGCCACTTGGGATACCAGTAGTAGCAGTGCCACCGAGTCGGATCCCCCACTGACACAAAGCACCAGCGGCCGTGGCCCCGCATCCAGTCCGCAGGTCACCATGGCCTTCTCCACCTTCCTGCGGAGATTTCGGTGAAGTCCTAGTATGCCTTTAGCAAAGCATGACACCTTCCAGCTGAAAGTCCAGAACTGCCAAAGGCAAAGAAGAAGTGACACAGCAGCCGCCGTTCCTCTTCGCATGTTGGCCGCAGGGTTCGCTCAGTGTGCCGATGCCATGGCCGTGTCACAGATGAGCTGAACTTGACGACAAACGTCTGAGGCTATAGGCTGAGGCCACCTCAACAAAGCAACAATCCCGATAGCGAGCTCGTTGCAAGTTCAATCTTCTTCCTGCATGCACCTCACCACATTCCTAAACCCTGCACCCCAAAGCCCTAAACTGTAAGCCCTAACCCCTAAACCCCTAAAACTACAACTCTTAACCCTAAGCCTCTAAACAGTAACTCCAACCGGCTAGGCATTGCTTGCCTCTTCCTGGTCAAGGCCTCGGTGTTCGAAAGCTCTAACTCAGACCATGGGTTCAGGGTTTAGGATTTGGGTGTAGGCTTTTGGGTTTTGGAATGCAGTCCACCCGAAGTCTATGGCAGTGCGTTGGGCTTCTGATGGTTGGGGCTCCTACATCTCAGCACTTTTCTTGAAGCCCTGGCTCCCACACCCGAAAGCCTAGAGCCCGAACACTTAACACCCCTAAAGCCCGAAACCCCCAAACCCGACGCGGCGTTTCACCCTGCTGCTCTAAAGCCCCTACAACTTCAATTGCGAAGCCTTGCTCAAACCCCAAACCCTAAACCCTGAAACCCTAAACCCTCAAATCCTTAACCGAAAGCCCTGATCCGGCCTGCTTGGCCTGCTGTGCCGCCAGCCCCTCGGCGGTGCGGCTTAGCGACTCTTCAGCAGTGCTCGCACGAGTGCTTTCCTGGGACAGGGCTTCCTGAGGTTCTTCGAACCATGGAGGGGGTCCCGCTTCCGGCGGGAAATCCCAAACCCTAAAGCCTTCAAACCCTTAAAATTGAAAGCCCCAAATCGTTTAAGCTCTGAGACGGACTAAACCCCTAAACCCTATAAACCCGGAGCCGTAAATGACTAAACCCCTAAACCCTAAACCACCTCCTAAGGTCCTAGAACCCTTCAAGAAGCCCGTTACAGGCACTCCCCGTCCCCCCCGCCTGCGCGAGAAGCTCCTCTAAGGCCGAAGCCCGGGTGTCGGCGGCTGCAAGGCCTTCCTGGAACCCCCCCCCAGGCTAAGGATTGCTTAGAGGACCATGGAACCTAGTAAGTCAGGTTAGTCGGGTAAGGGTTTCATAGCCGGGTTTCATGCGAGTTTACAAAGCTTCATCGGATTTCGTTGCGATGTTATGGGGCGTTCATGGGGTTTTAGATTAGACCAAGGTTTTCGGGGAGGGCTTCGTGCGATAATGCTTTAGCCCAGGACATTTCGGCCCTTGTGTTGGTCCGAGCGCTAACTTCAGAAGGGGATTCCCAGAAGCTTAAATCTCAGCGGTGGGGTGGGCCATCTGGGTGTTAGGGCTCTAGTGATGACACAAGCGACACTGTGACTATGATTGTCCTTGCTGATGATGCTGTTTCAGCAGATACTGCTGCTGAGGCTGCTGCTGAAGAAGCTGATGATGATGCTGGTCTCCCTCCTCCTGCTGCTGGTGTTGCCGCTACAGTACTGCTACCACCACCACACCCACCAGCAGAACCACCACCGCCACCACCGCCAACGCCAACGCCACAGCCGCTACCACCACCACGACCCTGAACATCAACACTGCCCAACACTGCCGCACTGGTTTTTCCCGAAAGATAGTGTGTTGCTTTGCCCTGCGTGCTGCGCATACTGCTACAAGTGCGTGCTTCCACGAAGACGTATATAGCTGCAAAGTAACGCAGTAGCCTTCTACGTACACTACTCTGATGAAACCCCGAATCCTAGTCCTTACATCTCCTTCTCATCCCCCAAACCCTACAAACCCTATAAACCCTAATTAATCCCCAAATCCTGATCTTTAAATCGCCTCCCCATCCCGTTCCCCGACAGCCTGTGCGGCCGTCACCTGCTTCTGCAAGTCGCCTTCCGCTGCCCTGCTCTCCTGTCACAATAGGGTTTAGGGTTTAGGGGTTTAGGGTTTAGGGTTTAGGGTTTAGGGTACAAGCCTACTTGGAAGATCTTTGGACTTAGTAACTAGGGTTCTAAGTAAGACAACTATGCCTAACGCGCCAATCAAAATACTTATAGCACTCGTATAGCCTTACCTACTAAGCCCCATGATCCTCCAAGTACAGTTTAAGAGATCAGGGGCTAAGGACTTGGGAATTTGGGATTGGAGATTATAGGGTTTAGGGATGTCCAGGGGAACTTAGTTAAGGGTTTCGGTTTTGGAAGTTGGAGTCTGCAACCGGAAAGCTTACCGCAACAGTCCCAAACCCGGCAAGAAGGCTGGCGTTGATGATGGGGCTGAAATTGCATTGGGGTGAAGAGCCGACGGCTGCTCCGCTGTGAACAAGACATCAGATTTAATGCGAGAATGTGATTAAAACAGGTCTCAGATTAAAAGCGAACAAAAATTTCGGCCCGGATTGGGTCTGGAAGACTACTTTCAACTGCGGCTCGATTGAGTCTCGCGAAAAGGTACCATATTTAAAGAAAACTATTTCCGGGAATAAAGAAATTCGGAGCTGCAGTTTTTCTCCAATCTCCCTTTTCTGAATCCGGAGCTATTCGCCGATCTCCAGTCTACCGGGGCACAAGCCATTGCACTGCTCTTCTGTGAGACGAATCTGCATCTGTCGCTGCAATCTTGCTTGTTGTCTGCTTGTTGCTTTCCGAAGCAGACCTTGCCTTTCGGCAGAGGCAGAGGCTGCCTTCCGGAGCCAAGTTGTTTGGAAAAACTGAGACCTTGAGAAAGCTAAGCTTTCGTATTAAAGGCCTAATAAAAGGAAGCTATTTTTCATTCCCTCCTGAGCTACCCCTTACGGGGCCTGCCCTGGGCAGCAGCCCGAACCGGATTTGTAAATGGGACTAGGCCAATAGATGGTTTTGTAATCGAAATTCAATACATTGAAATGAATTTTTTATAGAGCCCAAGGAGCCCGAGTGGAGTTTTGTCCATACATCAACCATTTTCATTAATGAGGTTCCCGCCATCCTTATTCGGGGAGGGGGGGTTTTACTATTTAGATGCTAGGAGAACGTCTTGCTTCCGCAAGAAATTGCACCCGACTATTGACCGGACGTTTGAAGGGACCGTTTTCTGCTGCGCCCCATGAGCCTTCCTACTTTAGCTGTCGACCTCCTCCCGAAAAGCGCTATCTCAGTCCGAAACCTAGGCCCTAAAAAACCCATCCCCCTACTAAGCCGCTCCTCAGGCCTAACCCAAAAGCCCGTTCAAGAACTTCCCCGAAGCCAACACCCGACGAATCATTTAAAATTGCCTACCAAGGAAACATTGCTGTTTCACATATATCACCAAGGAGTCGTTCCAAACGCAACTCTGAAGAGGTAAGTCCAAGACCCTTATGAACCGGACGAAACCTTGCAACAACCTAAAAATCATACTGAATCCTTCTGCAAGCCCTGATATAAAAACCTTTACAAACAAGGACCCCGAGAACCAACACCTCGATCTTGGCACCCAGATCGCCGATGTTGGCTTGAAGATTTCCTAGGCGACGGAAGACTTGCAGCTTGTAAGTATCCGGCAAAGTTCGAGGGTTCATGGCCCAGGGTTTGAAGTTTAGGGTTTGGGGTGTATGGCTTCAGGTTGAGGGTTTAGGGTGCACGGGTAGAGGACTCAAGGGCCCATGGGCCCCAACCCCAAGCCCTAAACCCCAAACCCTAAACCCCTGAAACATCGATCTTAAAACCTAAACCTAAACTCTCAAGTAGTAAAGGGGGTAGGGTTCAAGTGCGGTTCTTGGTTGGCCCGAGAGGCTTCGAGCGTGCGTCTTCGTGCCCTGTTGGGGGTTTAGGGGTCTTGGCTTAAGGTTGAGGGTTTGGAGGTTTAGAGGTTTAGG